CAGGTCCAGTGTCAGGTCCATCCAGCGTCAGGTCCGTCCAGCGTCAGGTCCAGCGTCAGCTTCAGCGTTAGGTCCAGCGTCAGGTCCAGCAGCAGATTCAGTGTCAGGTCCAGCGTCAGGTCCAGCGTCAGGTTCAGCGTCAGGTCCAGCAGCAGATTCAGTGTCAGGTCCAGCGTCAGGTTCAGTGGCAGATTCAGTGTCGGGTCCAGCGTCAGGTCCAGAGTCAGGTCCAGTGTCAGGTCCATCCAGCGTCAGGTCCGTCCAGCAGCAGGTCCAGCAGCAGATTCAGTGTTGGGTCCAGCATCAGGTCCAGTGTCAGGTCCAGCGTCAGGTCCAGCGTCAGGTTCAGCGTCAGGTCCAGCAGCAGATTCAGTGTCAGGTCTGGTGTCAGGTTCAGCATCAGGTCCAGCGTCAGGTCCAGCAGCAGATTCAGTGTCAGGTCTAGCGTCAGGTTCAGCGGCAGGTCCAGTGTCGGGTCCAGTGTCGGGTCCAGCAGCAGGTCCAGTGTCGGGTGCAGTGGCAGGTCCAGCATCAGGTCCAGCAGCAGATTCAGTGGCAGGCCTAGTGGCAGGTCCAGTGGCAGGTGTAGCCAACTTTGCACATGGCCCATGTGAAAATCAACCTTCTCCCTTCCATTTTTTAAAGCAGCACTTATTAGTGGAGCCTATTGCTATTTCACTGTGGCTTCACAGTGGATTTTAAGCATTTGCTTTATTAAAGCAACGTTCCATGCTCTTTGTGCTAAGTCACCTCTGCCTTTCTGTGAGTGGCTAGAATTGGGGTTCACTCTCAGATGTGCCAGAGCCTGGTACCTGCATCAGTTCTGGAGTCTACTTTGTCCTTATAGCCTGCCATCCACCGACAGCTGTCTTCTTCCTGTCACTCCTTCCACATGGAGTCCAGCAGTGTGCACAGTTGGGAGCCTGTGCCGATGCTGGTTTTGTAGGATCTTACTGGGACCTTACTGTTCTTTTCACTAGGAAAAGAGACCCTGCAAAGAACTTACAGAAAAGCCCCAAGAAGCCATATTGATAGAATCATAGTGACAGAATTCTATAACCGTTGGAAATGGCATTGATTGTCGTGAAATGTGCACTTACGTGAGGCATAGTAAAACATCACATTGGAATACTGCACTGGGTAAGAGCTTGGAAAGGAGATTATGAAAGTATAACTGGCTCTACTCTTATATGCTGGAGCATGATAAAGCAATGCAGGTATTGCATAGAATGGAACAAACAGGATAGAATTATACAGAGTAGTGCAGAATAGAACAAATATAATGTTATATAGGGTAGCATGGAACAAACAGTGTAGTATGGTATACTCTAGAATAGAACAAACAGTATAACATTATATAGTGTAGTATACAATAGAACAAATAGTGTTATATGGCTTAGAATGGAACAAGCCGGATAGTATTGTATAGCATGCACTGAACTAGCAACATAGTATTACACAGCACGGTATGGTCTAGATTAGAACACACAGCGTAGTATTAACGTTACACAGTGTAGTGTAGAATAGTAGAGTCATGTAGCACAGAACAGAGAGGATAGTGTTGTGTAGCACCGATGCAGGACTTTTTGCTCCTTAGCTCAGCTGGGTCCAGGTTCTTGTCTCATGACCAGGAAGAAACAGGCACGTGGATATCGAAGAGTAGTGCAGCAGAATTTATTAAGTGAGAAGAAAAGCTCTCAGTGAAAAGAGGGGTCCTGAAAGCAGGTGGCCAGTTGCCCCTTCCCAGTTGACTCCGAGGGCTTTTACATAGAAGCTGATGGGGCTGGTAAGGAGCGAATTTCTGGTGGCTCCACCCCATTCCCCTGCCACCCCATGTGCATGTGGGCCCTTAGTCTGCCGAGGGCATGTTTAGGCAAGGCCCCTGTGCAAGTTTCCTTATCTGCACAAAACATGGGTGGGAGGCTCTCTGGGACCCTTCCCTTAGAACTGTCTGCCTAAGCAAGCTGGCTAACTCCTTTCAGTATAGAAGAAAAATAGTATAGAACAGAACAGGTAGTACAGTATTATAGAGTGTAGAATGAAACAGTATAATTTATCATATAGAGGGGAATAGTATGATATGGCATAGAACAAATAGTCTATTCTGTAGAGTAGCATAGAATGGAACAAACAGTGTTGTACTCGTATCGTATGGAAAATAGCCTTGAATAGCACAGAACAGACACTGTCAGGCTCCATGGTGGAGAGTATACCCACCAGGATAGCGTGCTTCAGTGCAGTGTCCCTGGCCCTTGATATTTCTTTGGTTCTATGAAAATGAGGGCAGGGAGATAAGAGACAGGGAGGAGGTTGGCTTTTTTACTTTTAAGGTATTCATTACTTCTTGGGGATCATTTGGTGGTCCCTCTCTGGTAGTGTTCTCTGGAGCAGTCTGTGTATTCTGTGTAGGATGAAGTCAGGTGTTTTATGTGAACAGTTGCTTCATGCCTTGAACATGGCAGAGACTCAGTGGGTCTTGGCAGTTAACACTCTGATGACTTCTCTGCGGTGCCCTCCACGCTATAAATACCACACATTACAGGAAGTCCAGGCTTTTTCATTAGCTGGGTTTCATTTTAACAAAATTGGAAAGCCCTGCGTATTTGGAATGCCCAGATCATTCTGCACTTAAATGACTTCACCTGTCCAGCTGAGTACAGGAACGGACCTCTGGGCTTTTCTACCTTTTATGCCTTTTCTCCCATTTTTTTCATCTGGCAGTCTCTTCTGAGAAACCTTGACTTTGTTGTCTGAAAAACACTGATTAGCATGAGATCAGATAGCAGCTGTGAAGAATGAAAGCGCCACTAGCAAATCGGCAGCAACTGATAAGGAGAGATGCATCTCCCTGCGTGCTGCCAAGGTTTATGGAGTGGAATCCCCGGACACCACTGCCCTCGCTGCCTGTGCATGCCTCTGGTGTGGGTCATTTCCTTATTGAACTTGGCTGGGGACTCCTGAGGGGCAGAGTGAGGCTTGGATGGGTCGGGACTCGGTAATTTGGGAAAGGTATGCGTGGCATTCCAGTTTGCAGTCCGTGTCCCTGCCGTGTCCCTGTTGGAAGAGATGCTTTTAGGGGATCTGTTAATGCAGAATGATTAGCAAGAGTTGTCTCTTCTGAACCACTTCTGACTTCATCCTTTCTCAAGTCTTTTACAAAGAGAACTTAGGTTTCTCAAGTTTTAAGAATTAATGTCAAAGAGCAATTTAGTGTTCTTTTTGAGTTGCCAGCTTTGCTGTGGATGATTTGCGAGTCCTCGGTGGTTAGGGCCACCACACAATTGGTGGGCCCTCTTTTCCCCACCCTGGTGGAGACTTTCTCACCCAAAGAAATGTATTGTGTTAACATGTTTCAGTTAGGATATTTTAGTAGGAGACAGAATTATGGCTCTGGTTTAATTTGTAATGGGTGATAACTGTAGCAAGGTCAAGATTGAGACTTGCAGTGTAGCTCATGTAAAACATTGATTGTGAGCGCCCAAAATATGTTGCCAGCTTTGTTGCCGCAGCTCCAAGGACTAGGCATGCATATGTTGTTTTCTGTTTTTTTATTTTTGAGACAAAGTCTCACTGTGTTGCCCAGGCTGCAGTACAGTGGTGCGATCTTGGCTCACTACAACTTCTGCCTCCAGGGTTCAAGCAATTCTCCTGCCTCAGCCTCTCAAATAGCCAGGATTACAGGTACATGCCACCGTGTTTGTCTAATTTTTGTATTCTTAGTAGAGAAGGGTTTTCGCCACGTTGGCCAGGCTGGTCTTGAACTCCTGACCTCAAGTGCTCTGCCCACCTCGGCCTCTCAAAGTGCTGGCATTACAGGCATGAGCCACAGCACCTCGGTGCCATGACTATTTTAAATGTGGAACTGAATATCTGACTTTTTTTTTTTAAAGAACTGTAGACATCACCCCTCACACCTCTTTTCTGGAGCTGCTCTGGGCTGGCGGGGAGACCTCCCAGGCTTGAGGCTGCATCTAAAGCGTTGTTGGATAATGTGGAACTGTGACCCCTTGGTCTTTGGGGAGGTGGGGGCTGTGAGGCAACTTGCAGGAAAAGATGGTGCTTTAGTTTTTGAATTTTGCTTATTTTGTTTACCAAGCTGGTTATGCTAAGATTTGGATATTGTAGTAGGAATCAGTGTCAATTGCATACAATTGACTCTTCTACCACATAGGCTTGAGCTTTGTGGGTTAACTTACATGTGGATTTTTTCAGCGAAACTCAGGGAAAAATCAAGGTATTCCTGCCATGTGAAACTCGTGTCTGGAGGGCTGACTCTTATACACGCAGATACGGCAGGTGCATCTATGGGGCCTGAATGTGCCTGGATTTGGTGTCCATGGGGTCCTGGAACCACCTCACTGAGTACACCACGGATGGCTGTTTCCAGTCATAGGTGATTTCTTTTGTGGTTCCCCATTGGTTTCTTCACACACCCTCCCTCTCATGCCACAGCTGCTGGTGATGATGACTGATGACCTGGCCGTGCTATGCCAGGCTCCTCAGCTCCTTGGAGAGATTTCTGTGCTAAGGGCACTATTTGGCAAAAGTCCAGATTTTAGGATACAGAAAATTTGGGGGATGTGAATTCACTCAAATAAATATTTGAGGTTGGCCTCAGAGCCTTGTGTTCTTGTTTTATAAAAGATGAACCTTTAAGGGGAAATATTGTTTAAAAACAGTTAATTGGAAAGGCGCTGAAACAAAGTGAAGCTTTTTTATGCATAATACCTTCCATGTGGATGCTGATTTTCATGAAACTGTAATTGTTACTTGTACATTCTACTAACCCTTCTGCTATTTTCTACTTAACAACTTAACATACTTATTCATTCACTCACTAGTTTGGTTGTTCCTCAGGTTGCTGGGGCCTCCCTAGGACCTGAGCACGGTGCTGGGGATCCAAAAGTAGGTGGTTCCTGATGGGAACATGTCCACGCTGGTGGCCCCACTTGTAAGGAGTCCATGTTGGTGGAGGGCTGACTGGTGACCAGAACCCACGCACTGGTGCCATCATTGGTGCAAGGCAGGTGAGGACAGGGTCTGTAGATATTTAGGGGGGGGTGGTGGTCCCAGACCTGGGCAGGTGGAGGCGCCCTCTGAGGCCCCCAATGGACATTGGCTGAATGTGGTGAGACCAGGAGGGATGGCAGGGGCTAGGACGGAAGGAAGGGCTTCTGCAGAATCCGGGGTTGGGGCCTGAGCCTTGGTACTGGGAGAGATGCAGAGAGGGCAGCTCCAGGCTCTGGAAGGGAAATAGCCAGAGCTGTGCAGCCTCAGGGTCCTGTGGGGACACATCCAGGTGGCCCAGGAACCCCGGGGGGAGTTTTTGTTATGCCATGGGCCTCTCACAAGTGGGGACCAGGGCAGAACAGAGGACATCTGGGTTCCGTGGAGGATCACCCAGGATTCCAGTTGTAAATTACGGAAAACAACTTGAACTATATTATGCAAGGAAGTGAGCGTGAGGAGGGGGTCAGCCCAGAGCAGTCTGGCCAGAAGCTGTCCAGGTTCTAAGGCTGGGAGGCCCCTCGCTGGTTCATGCACTGTGGAATGGCTTCCATGCCTCCAGCCCACGGCAGGTGGAAGGTGCTTCCTGGCAGCCCCTGCAACCTGAAGGGACCAGCGCCCCTCCTGGCTTCACATCCTGTTCTCAGGGACATGGCGGTCACAGGGGGACCAGCTGGGGCGGGGGAAGAGCACCTGATAGAAGTGACTGTGGACTCTTTTAGGAAGGATAACTGTAGACAGAGGTGTTGTCAGCCTGTGTTCTTCTTGTGTTGGTCTGGTACATGCGGCTGCCGTGGGCCAGTGTGGTCCGTAGCCCCCATCTGGGGCATGCAGCTGCTGTGGGCCGGCGTGGTCCACAGTCCTGTTCTGTGGCATGCAGCTGCTGTGGGCCGGCGTGGTCCACAGCCCTGGTGTGGGGCATGCAGTGGCTGTGAGCTGGTGTGGTCCACAGCCCTGGGCACCATGATCCCTGGCCCTGAAATTGCATCTGTTGCTGTGTTCCTGTGGGCCAGCTGTCTCCTGAGGGGAAGAGAACACGGAACAGCCCTCCCCGCGTGGCCTCCCCACTACCACCCACCCCCAGGACCTCCAGTGTTGACCCTGCTGGGGGCTCCTCTCTCCTGGGGGGTCCTTGTCCCAACAAGAGGACTCTATGGGCTGCGGAGTGTCAAGCTGTTTTCTCTCCTGGAACTGGGTTGCTGGCAGCTCCCAGACTCAGGAGGAAAGGCTCAAAAGTACCTTCCTAATAAGGAATTGTTGACGTGAACTTTGAACAGCAAACACTGCTTAAATTTCCTTTTCCGTTTTGATGTGTTAATGGTGTGCCACAAAGCTGTGACGCACTGGGATGTGGGTGACGGGTGACCCCTCGAGAGGACTATGCACTTGTTTGATGATAAGAAGGCATGCTGCTCTTACTGCAAATAAAAACTTCAGTGATTTTCTGCCAGAAAGACCCTGCCCTTTATGTAGGATAAATAGAGGATCATTTGGCAAGTGGTTTGGGATTTTGGGTTAAACTAAAAATAAATTAATTTCATTTTATAGCACTCCAAGCACATTTGAGTTAATTATTCATTGAGAATTTGAATAGCACACAGTGTGTTCTTACTTCCGACTTCCCTCTAATTAATGGTATTTGCTGTAACGTGACAAAATCCTAAGTCTTAAAATTATTGGGTAATGTGAAAAAAGGAAAAGTTGGTTCTCTGTTGTTTTGCTTTGAGGAAATTATATTATTTTACAGTCACTTAATTTTCTCCTTTTCCAATAAGAAAAATTGCTTTCTTACTACCTGGAAATTAATGAAGGCAAAGAGAACACACCCTGAGGTGCATTAAGCCACCATCAAATGTGGATGTGGATTCAGTTTTCCCCTGTTCTCACCTACCTTGCCACCATGGCTCATTTCACATTTGCTTAGGAAAAGAAGAAACATTACTTTTAATAGGCATTAGGCAGTTTTTCTTAACCTAAGGAACAGGACATAATTCCAGTAATGGAAACTACCAACCGAGTGGGTCTGTGTGAGGTTTGGAAGAAAAAAAGGATTTTAACTTCCCCCTGTGTGTGTGGCCACCTCCCCCAGTTGAGAGTCACAGATTTAATTATTCTAATTTTGAGCTTAAAATAATTTGACAGCCTCACAAAAACTACTACAGTCCTATAAAATTCTGCTTGTGTGTTGGGTTTTTCAGTTGCTTGGCTTAATATGGTAAATGAATGCATTATGAGTTGTTATTTTAGTAATTGCTATAAAAATTAATGCATGTTATAACCAAGTGTTATAAAGTTAATTTAACAGCATTAACAGCAAAGTAAAGCTAAAGCTGCATCTGTTTGTCTCTGTACTTGTGCTTGAAGACGGCTCTGTGAGGTAGGCCCTGTGACCCTGCAGGCCTGCGGGAGCAGGTGCCACCTGGCCGCCGTGGTTGCCGCCCATTTCCTCTTGCTGCTAGGCAGCTTTGCAGTTTCCAGGCTGGGGGCAGTCAAGGCGGGTGGTCAGTAAGAGACGTGGGGAGTTGGGTGGTGCAGGTCAGTGTGGGGTAGAAGGAGGTGTGGTGTGTGGGCGTGGAGAGCCTTGGGGGAGGCTGGACAGAGACTCCGGTACCTGCACAGGGTGCGGGGAGCACGGGCCAGTGAGGAGCTCCTGGAATCAGCCCTTGGGGTTTTAATAGAGTGGCCTGTCTTTGGCTCGCTACCACATTCCTGCTGGGGGCCAGGTGGAGGGTAGGGGTGTCAAGGGCTTGTTTCTGTAGGTGAGTGCCCGGCTGACACAGCCCATGTTTCCAGAGGCCCCTCACCTGGGAATGGGCCCTGGCTATTCTCAGAACAAACAAATCTTAGTTAAACTTTACATGTCACCTTTCCAAAAGGTGTTTAAATCTGTGTGAATGTTAAGTCACCTTAATTTAAAGAATAATGATACAACATGATTCTTTTTAGGGGAGAAAACCTAGCTGACTTAAAAGTTAAAATCAGAGGTGGGCACATGCCGCATTGCAGCATTTTGTGGGAGATGGGATTTATGTCCTAGCGGGCAACGGTGTTTCTTGAACTATTGCGTTTGTTCTCTGTTATTGTATTACAGAAGTGACACGTCAAACATAGGGAAATGGAAGGCAAAATAGGCCCCCCGTGATTCAGAGATAAACACTATCAACATATTCGTGCACTTCCTTCTGCTGCTATGTTGTTCCCTTTTTACTGTGAGACCACCATCATAGGATGGGTGTGTAGTTGTTTATGGTGACTTTAGAAGCACGTGTCTGGGCACGGTGGCTCGCGCCTGTAATCCTAGCACTTTGGGAAGCCGAGGCGGGCAGATCACCTGAGGTCAGGAATTCAAAACCAGCCTGACCAACATGGTGAAACCCTGTCTCTATTAAAAGTACAAAAAATAATTAGCTGGGCATGGTGGCACATGCCTGTAATCCCAGCAGGAGAATCACTTGAACTTGGGAGGTGGAGGTTGCAGTGAGCTGAGAGCACGCCATTCCACTCCAGCCTGGGCATAAGAGTGAAACCCTATCTCAAAAAAAAAAAAAAAAAAAGCACCTTTCTTGTAAAAAAGAGGAGTATTTGTTCAGTCTGGAAAGTTTAGACAAAATGTTTTGTTTAAAAATTAGTTATAATACACCAATACATTGGTGATTGATGATCAAGTCATCAATATTTTAATCAATTTTCTTGGTTTCTTTATAAACTTAACATATGCAATTATTGGAAATAACGTAATTTTATGAGTAAATGTTTCTTGGCGTTAGAGATGGAGCAGAGAGGAGGCACAGGGCGTCCCATGGGCCGAGCTCCTTCCAGGGTGTGACCAGCGGCCTCTCGAGTTTGGGATCTGCGTGGAGAAAGATTTATAAATCGCCTTACACAGAACGCCTGCAGCCAGCCGTGGCTCTGCTTTGATGAGGTGGTATACTCTGATAGATTTTTCGAGACAAGACTGCGCTGGATCTGAGGCTGTTTCGGCTGCTTCTGAAGACGCCAGCTCTCCTGCCAGACCCCACAGATACCGTGTCCTTGTCTTCTTTAATCCAGTGTTGTACAGGGAAGTCTGAGGCCAGCTTGATTTTTGCTTCGTGGTAGGAAACTGGTGTTTTCAGGCTTTCCCCGTTTATTTCCACGATGAAGATGATGTCCCACCTTGTCTGTCTGGAGGCTTCTTTCTTGTCTTGTCAGAATGTCCGGGCACTGAGGTGCCTCTTCAGGTCCTCAGTTCCTTTCTCAGCTTCCTCACAAACCCCCCATCTCATCCATCTTCCCTGTAATTCTGCTGTGATTTTTTATTTTCATGCTCACCTTCCCATGTGACTTTTCTTCTTGTTTCACACACGGCAGTGCTGAACTCTATGTCTGAGGCTTGGGGCCACAGTGTTCATTCTGTCTGCTTCTGCGTGTACTTTTGAGAAGTAGGGGGTAGAGGTTGCCCCCTGGGTACTGTTTTAGCTGCACCTGCCCAGACTACCTGAAGTGGGGGTGTTGGGCAGAACCCTTGTGGCTCTGTGGTGGGCCATGTCCCTGACAGAGCAAGAAGTCACACTCCCAGGATGCACCTGCAGCTGTGTTCATGTCTGAGATTGTGATGGGATCCTTTCCGTCTCTAAAATATGTCATGGCTATTATCCAGGGGGTTGGCTGTAGGCTTTCAATGTATGTTTTCACTCTTTTTTTTTTTTTTTTTTTTTTTTACGGGGTCTCTCTCTTTTTTCCCAGGGTGGGGTGCTAGAGGGTGATTGGTGCTCCCCCCCACCCCCGGCCCCCCGGT